TGACCGGCGCTGGAAGATGGTCTCGATCAGGTTGTAGAGCAGGCGCATGGAGGTGGACTGCAGCGCCGCGGGCGCGGTGCAGTCATTGGTGTTGCGCACGAAGATGTCCACGATGGTGGTCAGCTGGGGCAGGCTCATCTCCGCCTTGACGCTGGCCACCAGCTCGGCCAGCGTGGAGCAGGCCAGCGGCCGCACGCTCTCGATGCAGGCCCGGCTTGTGCCCATGAGCACACGCTCGTCCAGCAGGACGTCCATGCTGGCCAGCAGCCCCGGGCGTAGCTTGGTGGCCAGCAGGTTGCGCACCGCGATCATCAGCTCCTTGCGGATGCCCGCCACCTCGGGCACGGTGGTCATTACGCGCACCAGCGCCGCGCAGACCGCGTCGCGGTGCTCCAGCATGGCCGCCTGCAGGTTGGCGGGCCGTGCCATGACCGTGAGGAAGGCCAGCATCTTGATCTGGGCCATGCGCAGGTCGTACACGGCGCCCGCCAGGGCGGGGGGCGTGGCGCCGGGGTCGGGGCCGCGGATGCCCGCCGCCGCCACAATGACCGGGATCAGCGGCGCAGCGTACTGGTGCATGCGCTTGGGGTAGGACTGGAGCAGGAACACCACGAACACCGCCACCTCCGCCGCCAGCTTGAAGGAGGCGCGGGCGGGGACCAGGGGTGGGGTGGAGCCAGCTGGCCCCAGGTCCTCCAGCCGCGAGCCGATGAAGCGCTCGTACGCGGCGGGCATGGACTCGTACAGCTGCAGCGGGGTTTAGGGGGGGGGGCGGGGGGCGGGGGTTGAGCCGAGGATGGGGGGGATCAGCGGGGGGGGGGAAGGGGCCGCTACGCGCCGGGGGAGCTGCGCTTCCTACGCACCGAGGCTAACCGGGACCAGGTCTGCAAGGTCCTGGGCCGCGCGCTGGACAGGTGTGCGGGTGGTGTGGGAACAGGGTGGTGTGGGAGATGGCGGTGACGAAGGAGGAGCCCGTGGATGGCTTCCAGCTGCAAGTCTGTGCATTGGATGGTGCCGCAAGGGGGGTTTGCACTCACTCTGGACGTGCTTTCCCGGTCTACATTGTGACATCAAACGGTGGATCTCCCCTCCTTCCTCCCTCGGCTCACTTCTATCGTTGTCAGTTGAACATTACGCTTGCCATTTTTAACCCCTACCGGCACACACCCCATGCAGTCATCTGGTGCGGGCCAGTCTGCTGTCCGAGATCCTGACCAAGCTGGGCGAGGACGAGTGCGCCCTGCCCAGCGCCGGGCGGGAAAGGAGGGCGCGCAGGCACGGCGAGCGTGTGCCGCTGCTGCAGCGCGTCCGGGAGCCGTCGTATGAGGAGCGGTGCACCAAGATCCGGGAAGCCGGGGGGAAGTTGGCAGGGGACTTTCCTGACGAGAACGACACGGAGGAGTGACTGGCGCTGCCCTGCTGCACTCCCCTCTTGTGTGTACATGTGTGGAGTACCCACGCCTCGTCAGCAGGCAGGGGGCGGTTACTAAGAGTTGTGACAGCGAAAGGGGAGATGGCACGCCAGGCGCCCTCGGCAGGGCCGTCCTGTGGCGCCTGCAGCGCAACATTACATTGCACTTTGATCTCTGGCCGCAGGGGTCTCGCAGGCCTACGCGCCCTTGAGGCCTCCTCTACAATGGGACAGCGCGTCACACGAGGGCGCAGGGTGCCCGCCAGACTTCCAGGCGCCACCTCCGCCACATGCTTGGGTCATGGAGTGCCGCTGGGTGGCTATGGCGCGACCACGACGGTGGGCACCTGCCCCTCGGCTTCCTCTGACGTCCAGTGAGCCTCGTGTCCATCCTCAACGGCCGCACCTAAGTCAAACGTGGGCGGGCAGGCAGGGTGACGTCTGGGTCCAGGAGCTTGAGAAGGGAGAAGAGCCATGCAGTTAATTGTTCTGGATGATGTCATGTACACCCTTGGCGCTGCACACAGATGCCCCCAGGATGCAGCAAGCACAGAAGATTCTTGTTGCACAGGGGAACGGCTGCAGAATGTAGAAACCCGCACACCATTGGGCCATCCTGATCCTAGATACTGCAGCCCACCGCACCCTCGGGGGTGAAGAGGCTGATGGCGTCCAGGTCCCAGGACAGGGAGGGGAGAAGGGGCTGCGCACGCCAGGGACTGCATGCGCATCTGCTGACGGGTGTGGCGCGCTACACACCATGCACGCACCGCCGACCCTGCTCCCCCATCCCCCAGACACCGACAAGCAGTCACCTGCTTCAGCCACTCGAAAAAGGGGATGCTCTGGTCCTCCAGCGACAGCTTGTAGATCTTGTGCACGTCATACATGATCCTCTGTGCGATGGCCGGGGAAGGGAGGGAGGGCGGGACGATGGTGGCATGAACGAGGGTTGCATAGGAGTGAACTAGCACATGCGTGGGACCATGGCGGCACCGCAGAGGCCCAGGTCTCAGACCACGCCAGTGGAAAGCTCTCCTTCCTTGCCCCCAGGGCTGCAAGCCGAGCGCTGCACGGCCGACCTCATGGCCGGCATGCCCATGCATTATGTCCCTCCGGCCGCTTCTGCCACACAACCACACAAGACGCAATCACCTGCACCACCATGCCGTTCGCCTCGTGGTCGGTCATGAGCACGGCGTGGCAGGCCGACAGGAGGTCCGCCACGAAGCTCTTGGGCAGCTCCGGGATTGACAGCCGGCCCAGCAGGTCAACGGCCGCAGTCCGCAGGCGGCTGGCGGGGGCGTCCAGCGGCAGCGACAGGTCGGCGGGGTGCCGGCCGAGCACCTGCATCAGGGCCGGAAACAGGGCGCCGACCACCACGGGGCTCATGGGGGTGTTGACGGCGCCCTCAAGCCGCTCCTTGATGCTGGTGGTCAGCAGCTCCACCTGCCGCTCCAGGGCTGCGGGTGTCAGGGGAGAGGCTCGAGGCTCAGGCCCGGCTGGGGGAGGTAGCAAGGGGTGGGCAGGCCCGACGCCTCCAGGCCTCCGGCCTGCAGCGCTCCCCATGCCACCTGACATGGGGCCGTTCATAGGAGGCCCGGCCCCAGGCAGCCCCTGGGACCCATTCAAACCGTACTCACGTATTTCTGGATTGGTAAGGTCCAGGATGCCCAGCTCCTGCTGCAGCAGTGTCCTCTTGCGCTGCTCCTCGTCCACTTCCGGCGCTGCATCACCCTGGGGCCCCCCCCCGGGCGAGATGGCCGGAGGGGGGCGGTGCTCGTGTCCCAGCATTCCCATTACGTCCTGATTCTTGCTATTGACCTTCCAAGACGACTAGACAGGCAGGGGCGTCCCATCCGGATCCATGGCCCGCATGGGCTCGGGCGAGGCCTGCACACCCTGCAAAAGCACTCCTCGGCTCTCGTCGCTGGTAGCTCGGCGCGTCCAGTGTTTGTACAATCAAGTATGTTTTGCACTTCTTCGAGGCCGTGCCGACAGCCGGCACCGGGGCTGGCCCAGCGATGGTGCGCAGGACGAGTAGACGATCCTCCTCTCCCGCTTGTTTTTTTCGGAAGCGATCCACCTTCATTTAGCAGCCTCTCCGCCCGTGTGCGCAGTGTGATCATTGCACCAGCCGAAATCCTAGAACATCAGGCTCTATCTTGACGCCTGTGCGATGTCGAAAGCGGGCCCCAGCCCGGTGGTGGATGTCGCCAAGGCTCGCCTGGACCTGGAGTCTGGGGTGAACCAGGTGTGTGCCACGCCACCGTTCGCAGAGCTCGGCACCCCATCGCCCCAATAATTCTTTCACCTCAGAACCTCATCCCACAACCCATCCATCTTCTCCCAGCATGGCCCCACCCTGCTCCGGCTGGCCCTGCACGACGCCCTGACGTGGGACGACAGCTCCCGGGGTGGGGGAGCCAATGCCTCCATCGCCGTGCCCCTGGAGCTTGCACGCCCCGGGAACGGGGGCCTGCAGCCCGGCCTGATCGTGGTCGAGGACCTCATGGCCCTGCACCCCGGGCTGAGCATGGCCGATGCCATTCAGCTGGCAGGTGCCGTGGCCGTGGAGGCGCTGGGAGGGCCCCACATCCCCATCCGCCTCGGTCGTCGGGATATCCGCGTGCCCCCTCCATCGGCACGCCTGCCCACCTATGACACATGTGAGACCCAGCCCATCCGGCCGAGGAATCCCCTGGGTGCTGAGTTTGGGAGACTGCCATCCGTGTACAGTGCTGCAGGAATGGAGCGGGGCACCTGCTGTGGCAGTGGCTGCGCCGCTCGTTTCCCACCCACCACCGGCCTGCCTCCCTGCCCACACCTCAGGCTCCAGCCTCGGACCTGGCGCGCTGCTCGCCTCCTTCCAGCGGATGGGGCTGAGTGTGCGCCAGGGGGTGGCCCTCTGTGGCGCTCACCCCTTTGGGCGCTTCTGGAGCTCCCCCAAGGTTTGGGAAGAGGTGCGAAGGCAGGGCACCTGGCACGCATGGGAGGGAATGTGACCCTGAGAGTGTGCCCTGGAGCGGCCCCGATGCCCGTCATGCTGCGGCGGGCCTCGGGGACGGCTGGCGGGCTGGACGCTTGGGCGATCGGGCCCTTCGCGGGCTCCCCGCAGCTCCATCGCCCCCTCCTTCCCTCGCAACTTGCATGACCCGCACCCCCATCACCACAGCTGTACCCGTCACTGGAGGCCCTGACCCCAGAGTCCCCGGCGGGAGGCAGCCCGCGGCGATCCGTCGCTCCTCAGCCCCCGCCCACCTTTGATGTGGAGATCTACCGGGACATCCTGGAGGGCAGGGACCCCCTGAGTATGTGAGTGAAGCAGTCTGCCCTGGGGGGTGGGGTGAGCATGTGTCTTGCAGGTGCTGCAAGTGCATCGACCGATTGATGGCATCTGCTCAGCCAGGTCTGGACCACAAGCCATAAAACACGTTCTGGGGCTTGCGGAGAGGGCAAAGTTCCTCCTGCAGCCGCCTTTACTAGCCTGGGACCCAGAGGGGCGTGCTTCACCCAGATCCAAGCCCCTCCCATCCCACCCGGCAACCCCCGGCCTGCACACAGATTCCTGCTGGGGGATCCTTCGGCCCGGGCAGCCATGGAGGCCTTCCTTGTCAACCCCGATCTGTGGCTCGTGGAGTATGCAAAGGCATTCCTGGAGGTCTCCGAGGCCCCTCTGGGACCAAGGGCCAGCCTCCTCACCGCCTGGGGGCGGGCAGGCGGCAAGGAGGTGGGCGCAGCCCTGGGCGTGGCGGCCTGCGTCGCAGCCCTGACCGTCCACCTCTGGAGGCGGCGACGGGCCCGGCGCGTCCTCCTGTAAAGTTCCGTACATTTGTATGGACCCCCCCCCCCGGGGCGTTGCGTCCGTGTAGCGCTCCTTCAACGACAATTTTCGCCGGTGCCTGCCCAGATCCATGCGGCCTCTTGGAGTCACGGTGTCGATCCTCCCCCTTTGAACGTGATTTGCTGCCTCTGTGCGGCCCCATTTTTGACTGCATCCCGCAGTGCTCGCGGGCCCTTTTGTACACCAGAAACCAGTGGGTTCAAGGAGAAAGCGCGAGCAAGAGGGGTTGCAGCATGACGCTGCATAGCTTTGCAGGGAGGGCCAGGGGATCAGTGTGCCGCCCTCCCACAGGACCGCCCGTCCAGCACCTCCTCGGCTGGCCAGGCGCACGAAGCGCCCGGGGACCCTGCGCTCGCGTCGAGGGCCGCGGCGGCCCGTAGGAGCTCCGCGCTCCGCACCAGCCGTGGTTCCGGGCCGCAGACCACGGCCACGCGGGCGCTGCGCCACAGCGCCGCGGCCGGGAGCGCCGGCGCCCCGGCGGCGGCCGCCAGCGCGGTCGCGAGGTCCAGAGCGCCCGCAAACACCAGGCAGGGCCAGAGGCTGCCCGCCACCAGGTCCACCCTCCTCAGGGCCGCCATGCCATGCTGTGCTCGCTGGGCTTCTATGGAGGCCAGCCCCGCCACCAGGAGGCGCGCCGCGGCGGGGGCGCCGGGGAGGAAGGCAGCCCCTCCACAGGCGGCCCGGAGACGCTGCACAGCTGGCAGGTGAGTCGTGCCAGCGAGGACGTTGTCTGCCTCTGCCAGGGTGGTTGGCAGGCTGAGCAGACACTGCACGGTCGGAGCATTGCAGTACAGGAGGGTGACTCAAGGTCCCAGGATGCACCCGGTCACTGTGGAAGGGAGGGGAGGCCGACATAACGTATGACACCCCAGCCCAGGCTCACCTTGAAGCGGAGCTGCCGGAGGCCTAGGTCCTGCAGCAGGGGCTGGAAGCGCCGCAGGCGCCCAGGATCCAGCCCCCCGTGCCCGCCCGAGGGCGCCGCCCACAGCGGCTGCAATGCATGGTGCCTGCGCGCCGCCACCCACCGGAGGGCCCAGGGCCAGGACCCCACGGTGCTCGCCGCCTTTGCCAGCTGGACGGTCATCGGGCGGGTCTCCGGTGCGTCCACATTGGTGGTCACGGAATCGAGAGCACCCCAGCTCTGGGCCTGGCGGGACACAGAGCAACAGCTTCTGACCCAGAGTCGGTGGTGCTCTCGGCAGTTCAACACAGCACAGGCATACGCCCTGGACCAGCACCCCATCCTTGCACGTGGTGGGCACAGCGCCAGGCCGCACCTCCATCACCACTGCATCGGTTTCAGGGTCAGACAGTCTGATGCTCTGCCCTGCGACCTCCAGCTTGTATGATGAGGGTCGGCACTGCTCTTGCAGGTCCAAGTGGACCCTGACTTCTATCAAGGAGCACCTCTGCACCACCTGGCACGCAGCATCTCCACCATCTACGCATCCGAGGAGGAAGAGATCGGACTGTGTTTTCGATGCCCGCTCGAATTCAGGCGGCTGGTGCGCAGCTGGCCTGCCCCGGCACCCCCTTCCAGGAGACTCACCTTCCCAGCACAGGTTCAAAGGGGTCGAGGTGAGCAGGCCTGGCGATGCTCCCATCGCCGCGTTAGGACCTGAAATCAGCTGCAAAGTATCGATGCTTGCGCCCACTCCATATTAATTGTCTGAAGATATCGCAGGGAGCAGACGTCGCGCAGGTTCGCTCCCACCATGTACGACCGGGGTGCAGGCTCTGGGGTGAAAGGCCAACAACTCTTCGCCAGCAGCTGGCATCAGCCAGCGACAGGCATGGTTGCGCGATGGTGGCTCCTTCAAGAGCTGGCGGATCGTGATGAGGCTCCCCAGCTGCTCCTGCCCTGGCTCTCCGGTCAACAAGAGCGCGCAGTACACATGGTAGTACCCCCCACCCGCGACTCAAAGCTGAGCAAGTAACGAGACCCCGGCCGTGCTATGGCAGTGGACAATACATCTGAACGCTCCCATATTTGCAATTTTCCAAGCCAGGATGGCGTACAGGACCAACCAGGAGCGGGTAGATGCCCTGACCCTGCAAATCAGCGTAAGTGATGGAGTGTGCGCGAGGGTCGGTCGACCTCAGCATGCCCTCCCGCCGGGGAATGTCCCCGCGCTATGGTGCTGGCATTACCCACGTCAGTTGACGAGCATATCCAGCTCAATTCACCCCTGCAGAACCCCAACATCGTGGGATCCGGCTTCATCCAGCACCCACCCCAGCGACCCTTTGAGCGGCCGGTGCTGTTGCAGCCCGAGACCATCAAGGCGAGTCCTGCACAGCAATGTGTGGTGCACGGGATATCCTTCCCACCTGCTCCCACAGTCTCCCTGGCGCCCGTGTGTTGGCATCTCAGCGCTTGCCTGGGCTCGACCCCACCCCCTCCCAACATCTCGCAGCATGAGGAGGTTCCAGAGTGGTACAATGGGCCTGTTGGGCACCGGCCTCAGCCCCCCGCAGCACGGCCGGCCCCACAGCAGCAGAGGGTGCGTTGCTGTCATGACAGAACACCGATGAGTGGCGTACTTCACCTGCAGCTCCGCGGCGCCTGGGTGGCCGCTGCCGCTCGTTCTGCACATGACTCACCCCTTCCCGATGCGCCGCCCCTGCGCCTGCTGGCAGCCCTGGGCCTGTGCTTTGCCACCGTGGCGGGCGGGGTGTACGTCCAGG